AGTTCTTTAGTGGTGATTTCTGAGATTTTGTCGCACTCATAACTCAAGCAATGTATGCTGTACCCCGTGTATAGTCTTTTATCTCTTGCCAGTCCCTTCACATTCCCCCAAGTCCCCAAAATCCAGTGTATCATTCTTATAGCTTTGTGTCCCCATAGCTTAGCTCCCACATATGAGTGAGAACATATGATGCTTGGTTTTCCATTCCTGAGTTACTTCACTTAGAATAATTGCCTCCAGTTCCATCCAAGTGGTTGAAATAATATTATTTCATTCCTTTTTGTGGCTGAATAGTATTCTACTATATATATATGTGTGTGTGTGTGTATATATATGTGCATGTATGTGTATATGTACATATATGTATGTATATATATACATATATCTATGTATACATAGGTGTGTATATAGTATATATACTATATATACTGTGTAGTGTATATAGTATATATAGTGTATATAGTGTATATAGTATATATACATGTATATATGTATATGTATATATATGTATATATACATATATATATGGCATTTGAGCTGGTCTCACATTTTTGCAATTGCAAATTGTGCTGCTGTAAACACGCATGTGCAAGTATCTTTTTTGTATAATGACTTCTTTTCCTCTGGGTAGAGACCTAGTAGTGGATTGCTGGATCAGATAGGTCTACTTTTAGTTCATTAAGGAATCACCACACTGTTTTCCATAGTGCTTATACTAGTTAAATTCTAGCCCACAGTGTAAAAGCATTCCCACTTCATGGCATTCACCCCAACATCTATAACTTTTTGCTTTTCTGATTATGCCCATTCTTGCAGGAGTGAGGTGGTATTTCATTGTAGTTTTGATTTGCATTTCCCTGATAATTAGTGATGTTGAATTTTTTCCATATGTTTGTTGACCATTCGTATATCTTCTTTTGAGAATTGTCTATTCATGTCCTTAGCCCACTTGCTCATGGGACTGTTTGTTTTTTCTTGCTGATTTTTTTGAGTTCTTTGTAGATTCTGGATATTAGTCCTTTGTTGGTGGTATAGATCATGAAGATTTTCTCCCACTCTGTGGGTTCTCTGTTAACTCTGCTGATTATTTCTTTTACTGTGCAGAAGCTTTTTAGTTTAATAAGTCCCATCTACTTATCTTTCTTTTTCTTGCATTTCTTTTGGAGTTTCTGGTCATGAAGTCTTTGCCCAGGCCAACGTCTAGAAGCGTTTTCAAATGTTGTCTCCTTGAATCTTTATAATTTCAGGTCTTAGATTTAAGTCTTTGATCCATCTTGAATTTATTTTACATAAGGTGAGAGATGACCCAAAAAGGTCCTAGAATTGGTAAATGAATTCAGAAAGGTTTCAGGACACAAAATTAATGTACACAAATCAGTAGCTCTGCTATATACCAATAGCGAACAAGCTGAGAGTCAAATCAAGAACTCAACCACTTTCATGATAGCTCCAAAAAAAGAGAAATACTTAGGAAAATACCTAACTCAGGACGTGAAAGATCTCTACAAGGAAAACTACAAGAAACTGTTGATAGAAATCATAGATGACACAAACAAATGGAAACACATCCCACGCTCATGGATAGGTAGAATCAATATCGTGAAAATGGCCATACTGCCAAAAGCAATCTATACATTCAGTACAGTTCCCAAAGGCATACCACCATCCTTCATCACAGAACTAGAAAATAAACTCTCCTAAAATTCATATGGAATCAAAAAAGAAGCCCAAATAACCAAGGCAAGACTAAGCCAAAAGAACAAATCTGGAGGCATCACATTACCGAACTTCATGCTATACTACAAGGTCATAGTCACCCAAACAGCATGGTACTCATATAAAAATAGATGCATAAACCAATGGAACACAATAGAGAACCCAGAAATAAAGTAATACTTACAGTATACTAATCCTTGACAAAGTGAATAGAAATATAAAGTGGGGAAAGGATATACTATTCAACAAAAGGTGCTCAGGTAATTGGCAAGTCACATGTAGAAGAATGTCCATAACGTTTTACAAGACTTTACCACAGTGTAGACTGCATTCTCACCTGAGACTCACCTGAGTACACATGCACTTTAAAGCTCTTTCAGATTGCTGTAGAACTAATTTCCTTGCATGGTCTATGACTTAGGACTTCAACTTCTTATTGGATCCTGGCTGAAGGTTGTTCTCAGGTCCTAGATGCTGTGGGCAATTCCCTGCTGTGTGATCTTCCCATAAGCAATGTACACATGGCTCTGTGCTTGCTCAAGAAAAGCATGGAGTGTCTCTCTCCAGTCTGCTAGGATAGACGGTTATATAATACAACACAATCATTGGAAATACATCTCATCACTCCTGCCATACTATATTGGTTAAAAGTGAGTCCTAGATTCTGCCTGCTCTCTGTGGGAGTAGAATATACAAGGCTGTGACTCATCAGGGAGAGGGTCATGCTAGGGTGTTCCAGCATCTTCAGCTTTTTCAAGTATCAGAGTACTGATACTGGGTGAGAAATCTGTCCCACATCCACTGACACTGAGTAGACCTGGCACCCCAGGGCACCTGGGAATCATCCTTTATAAGAGGTGTTTTAGGCTGACTCATCTTCTGTTGGTGGTGTGCAACATTAACAAAATATCTTAATTTGTCCTATTAAGTATATCCTGACATGTCTTTGAAGTTCCTTAATTACAGGCATCATAAGCCAATTCTGTCCAAATATATTCAAAATTTATATTTAATAATAGAAAAACAGATTATAAAGTAGTCTGCAAAACAAGACTCAGAGCAATAATGTCAATACTCAACTTCTTCGGCTTCATGCTGGGTTAGCTGAGACCATTTGCATGAGTGATAGAACAGGTACTGGATGCCAGATACTGCTGTGAGCACTATTGGCCTGCTGCCTCTAGAAATGTGCACAGGGCCAAGGCTACAACCATAGGTCTCAAAATATAAATATAATATACCATTTTTGTTTGTTAATTCAAATGCTTATTACTTCTACCATTACATAATACCATAATTGATAGTCTCCATTCTGGATAAAAATATTATTAGAGCACTCTTTAAATGTGGTATATTTAAAGCATACCTTTCTATGTATTTATTACTGGAATACAAAATCATACATGGTATCAAATACTGTAAACTCTGAAATAATTACCATAATTTTTTCAGATATTTTTCCTTCATTTTCAACATAGATGTGATCATATCATGTGCATTTTATTGATTGTTCTCAACATCAATTTCTTCTATTAATAATATAATAACAAAGTTGGCATTCTCCCATTTTAACTTAATTTAAAATGTAAAAGTAAAAGGAATGAGGTAGTCGTTCTTAGAAGAGAAACAAAAGCAATTCAACAAAAGCAGGAAAAAAATAATAAATTTTAAAAATCATGTTTATAATGACAACCTAGTACTATAGACAAAATACACCAAATTACCTAAAATTTCATGGGAGATATGCACCATTTTAGGTCAATTGATGTTTTTCTCTCATTGAGTTATTTTAGGAAACTTGCCAACTGTTGAGTGTGGGTGGAGATTCCAGCGTGGCCCAAGCAGAGGGACTCTATGAGGAAGGAGAACCCACGTAAGTTTGGCACTTCTTGGAGCTGCTTTAACAGAATAGGCAAGAGCTGAGTTCTTAACACCAGGCTGGATTTCATATTGAGAAATTTTCTGAGATGTGGGTTAGGAAGAGTAGCTGGAGACTGGATGAGAAACGTAAAGTGAAAGCTCTCATATTCTCCTGAGTTTTCCTTCTACTCCTGCACTGATTGTCCTTCATGCAGGTCTAAAATATAGGTCTTAGGTTTCTATCATGAATCTCCTACTGATCTTCCCAGCCATAGCTCAGCCCTGGTTAACATTTTAACTAATATGATATAAGGCATCTCCTGTATGACCATTCTCTCTCGTTTCATCCTCAGATATAGGACATACGTAAAATCAATTTTTGGAAGCTCACCTATGTCTTGCTGGGTTGACTAGGAAGGTGTGACATGACCTAACCTTAGGTCCTAAGGTGATATGACCCAACCTCACTTTTGCACGGGAACTTCTGTAACCCTTGAGTCACTAAATTCCTAGAGCCCCACAATAAGCACAGCGACCCTATGAACCTGCAGTGGCATCAGGGCACAGCCTTGAAGGGCACGCAGGGGTCTATTCAACACCTTGATTCTTTCCAAGAAATACTTACAAGTTTCCATCTTGGTTAGTAGTTCAACTCCAACCACACCAGTATAGGGACCCCAGCAAACATGAGCAACAGAGCTGGGTTTGCACCAACACTTGACCTCTGCCACATGTCCTTCATGCTTGCTTTCACTGCTGCTGTCCAAAATCTTAATATTCTTATTTTGTATTAGGCAAAAAATTGCCATGTGTTATCCAATTTTTTTCAAAATTCTGTTGGGTATGGCATAAAACACGCATGCTGCCTAATTCTTCCAAACTTGAATATTTATTTCTAAAACCCTTGATTTGCAATTCAAAATCCTCACCTTTTATTTCAACCTGCTGTGCCTGAGACTGGTCAAACACATTGGACACATGACTTTTGTTTTTAAGTGGATTTAACAAAGTCAACCTAGTAGCCCAAAAACAGGAATGTACATTGTTTGACATGGGTAATTCCTGAAATCGTGGTGTAAAATGCTATGCCTGCCCCTTTGCTGGACAGAGACATATGCTAAGAAAATGTGGAAGTGTGAAGGTGGAGGGAAGAAGAGAAACAGTTTTTATGTTACTAAACAAACTTGGCTGTGTCTGTAACCGGTAACTATTCAAACAAAAGAAAATCCAAAAAACATATCAGTTTTAGGTTGACATGAAGTAGCCTTAATTACAAAGTCGTTACACTGAATCTTTTTAGTTGAAAAATAGATGTAGGAAAGGCTAGGGGGATTTAGATGAACTTTCATTCAGTTTTCTCCATTATCATGTCTGGTTGCTCCGTGGGCACTTGGACCCCACCATTCTCCTGCGGTTCGGCCTGAGGTGTAGCCCCAAGATCATAGGAGCAGCTTCCTGCAACTCATCCCCCTGAATTCTTTACTGTTTTGCCCTCTATGGTGCCTGCTCCCCCGACAAACAACACATGTGGGCAGCTGGGCCACCCAGCAGAGAGGTTTGTGTTCGGGGCTGTACCACTGTGGGGGATCTTTTGTACTTTGCATGCAGTAACAAACGCCAACATCCTCAGGCTCCACCCTGCTGATTTTCAGTGTGAAATCTGTGCCTGACCCACTGCCACTGAACCTGTCTGGGACCCCAGGTTCCCGATTGGTAACTTTATAGATCAGGAACCGTGGAGACTGGCCTGGCTTCTGCAGGTACCAATCCAAATAGGTGTTTCCATTACTATGCAGAAGGCTTTGACTAGACCTGCAGGAGATGGAGGCCGGCTCTCCAGGGGTGACGGGCAGCGAGAGTAGAGTCTGGGTCATCACAATATCCCCACTGGATCCTGAAGTAATGAGAGAGAAGTGCAAGATTATAAACAAACATTACGAGGCATTTTCATTATTTGTTTTCTGTTACGTTTTTCATGAAAATCATTATTTTTGTGAGTGCATTTTTGGTTTGTATCCTAAAACATCCAATTTCACAAAGAATCAAATTTTTGAGGCAAAAGGGAGTCAGTTGAATTATCTCACACCATCCACCTCTTTCTGTGTCAGAATCTTCTCCAGATCACAGGCCCCTGCTCCTTCTAGAATCTTTCTCACTGTCACTGATTTAAACACCACATGCCCCACCCTGGAGGACAAGACACATCTAACATGGGACAGAATACCCATGAAAGGCAGCAGGGCCCCAAGAGCTCACCCTCCCACTCCATTCTCCTCCTCCTTCTCCCTTCCATCCTTACCAGGGACCCAGAGCATCAACAGCCCGAGGAGCTGAGCAGGGAGTCTCATCGTGAGAAGATGAACTGAGGAGTCCTGATCAGTCAAGGCAAGGGTAGAGCTGAGTTTTATCTCAGAGTCACAAGGGAAGGTCCTCCCGAGGGAACAGTATGCAAATCCCCTGGTGGGTGCAGCAGTGTGGAAAGAGCCAAGGGGAGTGTGCAGGGACTCTGTTGTGAGCAAAGTGACATAAAATATCTTCTGCATTTGAAGGACCATAATAAAGATAAAGTTGATATTGCCTGAGTGGCAGAAGTGACATATTTAAATGTTTCCTTTCATTTTCTTTAATAGATTTTTATTTTTTTCTCACTTTCTCAGGCACGTTTTACACTTCTCTTTAATAGGTTGAGTTTTATTAAAATTTGATTATTCTTTTCAATGTTAATTTAAGAGTCTGGTTTCTGTCTTTTTTAAGTTTTTCTCCTTAATGGAGATAAAACACATAGAGTAAAGCTCACCAAACTTAAAAGTGCAACTGACTAAAGTTTATGTATATTCACTCTCCAGATGAAACCCTAGAAAATTCCAAATACTCCTGATGCTTCCCTCATGCACCATCTTAGTTATTTCTTCTTCTATCCCAACCATGCTAACTGTCATTCAGGCATTCTGGTGTCTATCACAATAGATTGCGTTTTTCTGGGCTGAAAAGTCACATGGATTGAAAGAAGAGTATTTTTTGGTTTGCTTTCATTTTTTTGTTGTTGTTGTCTAACTTCTTTCTTGCTGCTTTTTTTGTGTGTGGTGTGTGGGGTGGCTTCAATCCTACCCCTGGGCTTGAGTGCTGACTGCTTTTATTTCCTGAAATTGTGAAGAACTTCCTCCTGAATATCTTGTAAGAAATATCTGCTATTTAATTTTAGTATTCTTTTCTTTCTTTCTTTCTTTTTTTTTTTTTTCTTTTTGAGATAGAGTCTCACTCTTTTACCCGGACTGGAGTGCAATGCCACCATCTCGGCTCACTGCAACATCCGCCTCTCGGGTACAAGCAATTCTCCTGCTGCAGCCTCTGAAGTAGCTGGGATTACAGGCAGGCACCACTATGCCCAGCTAGTTTTTGTATGATTAGTAGAGTCTGGGTTTCACCATGTTGGTCAGGCTGGTCTAAAACTCCTGACCTCGTGATCAGCCCGCCTCGGCCTCCCATAGTGCTGGGATTACAGATGTGAGCCACCGTGCCTGGCCTTTTCTTTTATTGTTGAAGGATATTTTCACTAGAAATAGAATTATTGGCTGCCTTTTTTCCCCCTGGAAGTTGGTTATCTTCTATACTCCCCGGGTTACAATAAAATATTAGTCAATGGTTTTATTATTATTTCCCTGAGTTTTTATATTGTGTCGGTTTTTTCTTGATGCATTAAGTTTTCTCCTCTTTGTCTTTCAACATTTTAACTATAATATGTTTAGTTATGAATCTCATAGTGTTTATTCTAACAGACATTATTGAATTTCTTTAATCTACACATTAATGCATTTCATTACTTTTGAAAAGTTGCTGCAGTCCTTTCTTCAAATATTTTTACAGGTACTTTTCTCTTTTGTTTTTATTCTCTCAATATTGGTCACAATTCTCTTTTTCTTCGAAGCTTTGGTTTTTATTTTAAAACTGTACATTTTAGATCATGTGTTTCTGGATTCTATTTTATTGTCCTGAGCATTGTTAAATATATTTTAATAACTTGCCTGGACCTATACTGAAGAATCTACTGCTCCCTCCCCAACCCCCTACCATGATGTTTGATCACTGATATCTCCGTTAATTTTTAATTCTTAATTTAAATATTTAGCTTAGATTTATAAAATCTGCATATGTGTTTGCTTAGTGGTCACTCATGATTTGGGCAGAAGTTTTGCTCAAGTATCTGGAACTCATAAATCTACCTTCTCCCATTCCATCTGTGTGTGGCCTGAAAAGTGCATGCAAGATGCAATCACTTCTTACCTCCCTGTGTTTTTACTTATCACTACGCCTCCTTCAATCTCTGTTATTCATACTTGCAGCTTTTAAGTCACCAGGAATTTGTGCAGAGATTATCTCAGCAATTCTATAACTGTCTTAAACCAGAAATGGATTAGTAACTTTCAGCTGGGGTACCACTTGCCCCAGCTAGGGCTCTCATCTTAAACTAACAAAGCTGTGGTCTTGCACAGTCCATTTCCTGCATAGTTCATCACAGTTAGCTGGAAACACTAAAGGATCTTGTTCCACAACAGCTCACGTCCACTCTCTTTGATGGCAAGCTGCTGGTTTCTGCAGCCATCCTCATGTTGGAAAATCTCCAGTTCTGCAATTCATGTTGACTAAGCTGGAGTGAAAGGGATCTGTTCCAGGCAAAAGACCTCTGACTAAGCTGGAGTGAAAGGGAGCTGTTCCAGGCAAAAGACCTCTGACTAAGCTGGAGTGAAAGGGAGCTGTTCCAGGCAAAAGGCCTCAAACATTTCCTGTCCTTACCCAAAGCACTACACTTTCTTATAAAGATATACATTTAAAAATTTTTTTAAGCTTTGCCAATTTCCACAGTGCTGAAATAGGATTGATATTTTTTAGCTTTATACTTATATTTGGGTTTGTTGTTTATTTTTGCTGAGGCTTTAATAAACTCTTTGTGACACCATAAACAAAGATGTCTTGTAAACTGAATTTAAATGACTATAATAGCCACATTGAAAGGGAATGGGGATATTTACAAAAATAAATAATTTTGAAATTGAGAATTTGAACTCTATACCGTCAGTTTACAGAGAAACCAAACTCTTAACAAATAGAAAACTGTAATCCCCAGACTTCACATTCTCAGATGAACACACAGTCAATTTGTAAAATGCCTTATACACATTCTAGGACTGAGAATATAAATAAATATACTCTACATGAAGACAGACAAGATTGTCTTTAACAGACATAAGAAACACAAAAAGGAAAAGGTGGAAAATATGATGACCCTTGTGAAATTATTTAATTAGAATCCATATGTTTTGTAGTTTTGTAGTTATATTTTAATTAATTTTGAAATGCTTTTAAACTTAAAATTTAAATAATACAGTAAAGATTGTTCCCCTATACTCTTCCTGTAGCTTCTTCTAGTGTTAGCATCAAGCATAATTACGGTGTTTAAGTACCAATACCAGAAAATTAACAGAGATACACTGCTATTAGTTAAGTAAATTGCAATCTCCTTCAGATTTCACTGATTTTTCCAATAGTGCCCTTTTTACATTCCAGGGTAAAATCCAAGATAGTATATGACAGTGAGTTATTGTTTCCTTACTGTTTCCCAAAGTGTGACAAATTTTTTAAATTTTGTTTATCTTTCAGGATCTTGAAACTGTTGAAGTGCACTGGCCAGTTACTTTGGAGAATATCCGTTAACTTGGGTTTATTTGAAGTCTTCTATTGACTAGAATCACATTTCTTTTTTATTTTTAACAAAAGTAAAAATACACATGGGATGTGTTTTCAATGTATATCAGGAGTTAAATAATGTCCACATGTCCTATTACTGGTGGTGATGAATGAATACAACCAATGAAATCTGTTTTAGAAGGAAGTCTTGGACAAAGCTAACTGAGACAGCTGCTTCTACTACTCTTTGTATTTGGTCATATGCAGACTTTTGGATAAATAATTTTTTTCTGTCAGATCCTGTTTCTTCTCATGCTTTCTAGGCTTTAATCCTTTTAAAGCTTACTGCACAATGGAGAATATTAAATTAATTAATTAATATTGACTTTAATAAATGAATAAAGAAATATTAGCTCTTAAATGACTAAGTTTTCTATCATGGCCATTTACCACGAAAATGTTAATAGTCTGAAGAAAACAAAAGAGAAATGGGATTTATTAAAACATGGTAGTATCCACAAATGAACAGCTGTTCTTGAGTCAACTGTTTGGATAAACAAATAGAATTTTCCATCACTTGGAATATTGCAGGAACCAAATGGACAGCTGCAGCACACACTGATCTACTTCTACGGAGAAGATTCAGATACCATTGGTGTTGTATTAGGATGTGCACAGTTCAGACACTGTGTCTGGAAATATGAGATTATGTCCCTTCGTTAAAGAATGTGTGACTACATATGCATGGCTACAATCATTTGTAGAAATATGTACTTTTCCAAATTTTTTGGGTTTTATCATAAGATTCAATGGAATTATGTATTTGAATAGTAGTGAAACAAAAATATTATATGGAACTGGAAATTTTTGAGTATATACAGAGAGGCTATCAGAGAAAGGCCAACCATACTTTACTGGATACAGTTAATCTGCCTGGGACTTTTGGAGGAAATGGCTGAAAAGAAATGTGTTTGAAGAAGTACGATGTGGGTTAAAAAAATCAAATACTCACAACTTGAAAATTATTTCCAGCGAAAGCAGATGACTTTACAAAAAGGTGAAGTGATGTTTCAGTTTACCAAATCACCCTCATACATACCCTTTCACTTTTCCTTTTTTGCCTTTTCATTGGGTAAAATTTTGGTAGTGAATGGGGAGAAGAAATGCACTGGACAGATCTGGGTGAGTATAATCAAAGGCTGAGCATTTTAGAAGAGATCAAGACCAAATCACTAGGATTTTAAACACTGTGAGCTGGTTAATGAATAAAATCTGTCCCAAAATCTAATGCTGCTTGTAGAAGAAACACCCATGGATTAGATTTAAAGTTGTGTCACATAACTCTTGGCTAAGTTGATCTAGTGATGATAATGATGATTATTTTAGTGCTAAATATTGTAATAATAGTAATAACAAAATTAATAGCAGCATATATTATATCTTGAATACTGTTTTAAACGCTTTAACTTGTTTAAATTGTAAAAAGACCTAAAGGTAGATCATATCATTGTCACAGTTCCAAAGATATGGAAACTGAGGCAAAGGAAGGTTAAGCAACCTTACCAATGTCATACACTCTGTAAGCATCAGAGCTGTGACCTCATCTAAAAGAGCTTAACCTCAGGGTTGGCCAAGATAATGTCTGGACTGTTGGATGCATATTGTCTGACTCTAATTCCAGAATGGATGCAGACTTCAGTGGTACTTGGAGTAGCATTAATAAAACTACATCCTTGCCTCCTACAGAG